AAAGGAATGGGGAAGACTGGTGGATGGCAATAAAATTCTGTGTGATAGCATTGATAACGTTGCTATCAGTTGGCTAGCAATAAGTGCACGTGCCGCGTTTATGCTTTGTACAAGTAAAAATACTAGTGAAATATTGAAATATTATCATAAGATTATTAACACAAACCAAATATTACTATTGAGTCGACACGAATACAAGTTTACTGATGGAATCGTCAAAGTTTTCGATTTAAATTCGTTAGTCAGTTTAAAAAGCGATTCTCAACTCCAAAATAGTTGCTCATTCAGTCAGCAATTACAAAGTATAATTCATTACGAGCACTTGTTGTCTTTTAGTTCATCTTCCAACATTAATATGTTCTCCATTCTTTGTTGTGATTTTTCAATCCACTGTCAATGATACTCTCCGGTTTTTGAAAGCGTCATCATCCATCTTGCTGCTATGAAACTCGTATTAATGAGTTAATTCTTCACTGCAATTGAACTAATTGTATGAATAATGCATTTGTGGCGATAAAATTCAGTGCTTGTGATATAACAGTGAATATCGTTTTTGACATTATTGCTCTTTTGTATGATTCGCTAATTGTAAGTGCAATCATTTCCAAACTCGTTAATCATTTCAACCACTTTTGACATTTGACCAATCGTTGTTTGAAATGTTCTGATGAAGCGCCGTGTTGTTTTGACTGACGTTATTGATTCGGAAAACAGAAAGCGATATATTTCTTTGGAAGAAAAATGTCGTCGAAAATTAGGAGTGATGAATTCAGGATTGATGTATGCGACGGGTAAAGATTCAAAATGACTGACAATGAGAGTTCCGTAGCAGATGATGAAGGATTTGTGTGTGATTGTGTTGCATCGAAAATTCAGAAAGCGCTTCCTGGCACTCCGGGACAACGCAGTTATTAGCACTATTATTCATTATCTCTTAGTCTTTTTACATTTGAACCAGTTTCTTACGACAAGAAGCACCTTACCGAGTTTGGAGATAAGAGACAAGTCATAAATTATTTGCAACAGCTCGAGATGTTGGTCACGATTGCCTTCTCAAAATTTACTGTATGCAATCTGGAGTCGATAGGAAAAGTCTTTGTCTTGACGATATTGAGCAATGTGTTGATGTTTTCGGTGGAGCATTTTCTTGATGATTCTGGTCATCCCTTGGAATAATTGAAATACTATTGTGAGGAAGGTTTTAGCAGGATACATTCCTTACAAAGCAGTTTATGATACACAAGAGCAGGCACGTCGTCGTGGCTATTGGATTCCTGGCCTTCCAGTTAAGGCGAAAATCACGAAGGTGGAAAAGGATACAAAATCCGGCATTCATTTGATCAATGCTTATTTGTGAGGATTTCACTGAACATTCATTACTCTTGAATAATTCTGAAAACTGATAGCGATGTCATTGGTATTTGTAGGATCAATAAAAGTGTTATAGTGATAATAATAACGGTAATAATGAAATAATAATGCTGATATTGTCAGTAAAGCTCGCGTCAGTTACAAATCAAACTTAGAAACCTCAACTGGGATAATATGGAAATGAACAAATTTCACATATTCTTGAATGAGACTAAATTTTTGAGAGATATTACAGATATACAATCGAATTGGAGCATGGTACATTCAAATGGAGTGTGGTGAAGCGGAATAAAGACTTTGCAGTGTTGGCTGCGAGGCTTATGACACACAGAGCCGCTGAACGAATTCGTGCTCCAGTCAGAAGGTTGGACTTTATCCGATTGCAGATCTGACCTTGTGAATCCTCTACGCAACAGAACTGGGTCTGGATGCTCCGGCA